TAATGCTTGTTTATTACACTGCCTGATAAAACTCGAAAGATCTTTTTGCATGACTCTCATACGGCTGTTAGATTATTGCTCCTGTTAGAGAGCAGCTGAGTTACAAGACCCTCCTCTCCCTTTTCTGACCATCTTCATCCTTCCATGTGCCCTCCATTCGTCTCCCCCTTCACTCCCTCCCACTTTGTTTCCTTTCTCCCTTCCTCTTTTCTTCCATTCACTATCAGGAAGGGCAACCTGTGGAGGCCCCAGTCAGCCCAACCCCGAGCCAACAGGGACTAGAGGCAGCAGCGGCTGCAACAGTGAGTGAATTGAAACCAACAAACCATCACATGTCGTTTAAAGAGGTGGCAAACAGTGCAGCAGAATTCTTGTTAACTATGTTGAGAGCATGAGACATGTGTGCTCTTGGGAAATATGCCCTGATTACTCATTGAGAAGATGACAGAAAAGATTTCCACCTCTTATGAGTAGATTCTGGTATCATCTTTGCCATTGGTCTACTAAGTTTCTGTTCAAATACGTAAGTACAGTCATGTTTAAGGAAGCAAAGTGGCTGTTGTACCCTCTCCAAGTCCCATCGTCTTCATCCAATATGGCAGCTCTTGGACTCATCCACTTTCGTGTCTGTATTTTGTGACCATGTAGTGGATGATTTTTCAGCATGGAGTAAGAACATCTCTGATTCTTAAATTATTTTGCAACACTTTAAAGTTCTGCCTCAGATCGATGCGTGGACATTTGGTCCATTTTAGCGGTGACTTAGTCTCTTTCCAGTGGAAGCTTATACATGTCTACTTTTTCGTGAGAGACTCAGAAGCCTTCATGTCCTCAGCTGTTCCAGTGAGACCTCCACGCTGCCGTGTGTCTCGTGTGTACTGCACATCTGATGTAATAACCAAATTCATCTTCTGTTTTGATCTTTCCTTTTTCCAGTTCTAGCTCATGATTCAGTATCAGCACTTCGGATGTTAAGCATTTCAATATTTGTCCTTAAAAACATCTCTTAACCAAAATCTGATAATGCCCTAATATCAAAATAGTCCAATCAGTTCTAGGTAATGAATCTGTAAGATGTTTAAGTCTCACCATTAGTGATTACTCATGTACTACTTTGTTCTAGGAGCATTATACTCCTTTAAAAGAGAACAAAATATTTAAATGGATAACCTTTTCTTTCGTTAGGTGTTTCCGATCTTTTTAAACTTAGAAAACTACTATAGTCACCCTTTTAGAACTAGTCTAAAAGGGCTGATATTTTGGATCCAGATATTTTAATGTTGCTGCTTAAAATTATTTTCAAGTATGGACTTTACTGTTTCCTTTCCTATGAAAATTTTTTTTTAAAATCCCTTTAAGCACATACTATCCATTTATTGACATTCTTTCCATTTACTGCTCTTCTTTCTGCTAGTCTTGGTGTTTTAAGATGTGCTTCTCATGTGTCCATCTTGATGCTTTTAAATCTGGCATCTTCTTCTTTGATTCTATTCAAGTTAAAAGTCCCCAGTCTGGAAACCTGCACCTTCATAGGGTCTTCTTAGCCCACTGGTTTTTTCAGCCAAACATCTGGAAAGCAGCCTAAAGGCATCAGGATGATAATTCTATAACAAGGGCCCTGGATTCTTGACCCCAAGGGGCTTAGGCTGTGAACACTGATTTGTTTTTGTTCTGTTCTATGTCCTCTTGGTTGCCTGTAAGCCGTGTATCACAGTTTAATTTTTCTTTTCTTTTTTCTGCTGATGTGTGTCTCTCATCCCCTTTCCTGTAACTCTCATTTCCTGTATTCTGAAGGGACGGTCGTCAGTGTCTAGCTGGAGGTTGAACCTGTCTGCCCCTCATGTTAGCCCCTGGTTGGGGAAAGCTTCAGAAGTGGCCTTCTGCTTAGGAGCCTTGAAACCCAAAGCCCGCCTCCTCCACTCTGTAACCCGTCGCAGGATATGCTGGAGTCCTCTCCTGTCACCCATGCCCTTTGTTGCCCTTTCAATCCACCTTTTGAGGGTTGTCAGGTGTAATGTTTGTGTGACCTGGAGGTGCCCAGGGCTTTAGTGGTCCCAAATCTGACTACACATCAGAATCACCTGATGAATTTGTTTCTTAGGATATTAAAACAAAACAGATAAGTGGAAGAGGAAATAAAGATGGCCTGTAGTTCCATGACCAAGACAATCCCCTACTGACGTTAAAAAATAAAATTAAAGCAGTAGGTGCACTTGGTTAGAAAATGCAAATAAGGGAGCATTTGAGATTTTACTTCCCAGCAGATGTTGTCAAATGAATTCTTATAAAATTTTTTAAAATGCAAATAATACTGAAAGTGAAAACCTCCCTACCCCTAATACCGTCTTCTCATCAAGAGTAATAGAATTTTGCCTACAATTTTTTTTCTGCATATGTGTCTTCTATTAATATAAGTGTATGTGTGGATTATTGTATATTTGAAATATATATTTGAAATACATTAGGAATGATGTTTAAACTGTAGCACTCTTCTGCCCCTTGCTTTATTAGGTTTTTAAAAATTTAGTGTATCTTAGAAATTGTTTCATAGTGATAGTCACTCTTTTTTATAGTTACCTAGCATTCCGTAGACCATTCCGTTGGATGTGCTACAATTATGTAATCACTCTCTTACTGTGTTAGTTGTTCCCAGTTCTTTGTTATTACAAATAACAGTGCAGGGAACATCCTTGTCCACGTATCTTGCTTGATAAAATTTCACAAGCAAGTTTCCAGCAGTGGGTAGGATTGCTGAGTCTCAAAGGATGCATGCATTTTTGTGTGTGTGTGCGTGCACTTTCAATTTTGATAGACAATCAAAATGATTATACAGTTTACACTTGGGGAAATATTTTTTTTTTAAACACAGATTTCCTAGGTCCCACCCCAGACCTACAAAACTTTTACTTTCTGGGAGTAGGATTCGGGAATCTCTATTTAATGAAATGCAGCTTTCAAGGCGATTCTGATACAGCAGGTTCTCTAACCAGGACGTGAGAACCACTGCTAAAAGAAGACAGACGATTTGCCCAAACACTGTGGTGTGCTGGTCAGTAAGCCGTGGTAAAAAGCGAAGATGTGAGTGGGGACCTCAGGGCAGTTGACCAAACCTGCGTACACACTGTTTGTGCTGCTTGCCCAGAAGGCCGTTTTGCAGGAGAGCAGTCTTCCAACTCTTACCTTGTTTGGCTCCTCGGACAGAAACCATATGAACGGGGGATAGGGGCTGTTTCTTTAGCTCCTTTCACTCTGTGGCAGGTTGGCACTAATTGGTATCTGTCAGACTTAATCCCAGTTTTGCCTGGTTTTTCTACCCAAAGAGTCCTTTTGCCTCAATAAACCCAAGCGTTTCCAAATCAGATTGACTTAGATATTCAGACTCTGGAGACCCTACTGAAAACTGTGCCCAGGAAGTAAGAAAAACAACACAAAACATCCCACCCACATTTGCCCACGTGCCCGTGAAAGAGTTGTTTTAACGCTCCAGACGCCTCAGTTGAAGGAAAGGAGCCTTGTTTTCTTTTTTTTAAACTCAGTATTCTCTAGCCACGAGCTAATGTACATTAAGTTTTTTTTCCTTCCCTGACCTAGGAAGTCCTTTGTTCCTGAGCAGAGAGAGACCTAGTATATTTCTGTAGCCAGAGAGTGGCAGGAACTCTTGGGCTCCTGTTGAAAGCTTAACAAACCAGGTTACAATCGTCGTGTCATTTGGCCCCCCCGCTCTTAGAAAGCCTGATCTTGAGTTCCAGAAAAACTTAGGCCCTTGAAGGCTACACAGATAGAGGTACACATGTTAGGAAGATCTTTTGTATTAAGCTTTTCACTCCAGCAGGATTCTTAATTAGCATTGACCAAAGCAAGGCCGGTGTCTCTTGGCGCAGCAGGCACACTGTATATTTCCTCTGATCAGGATGAGGTATAAATGCAGCTGGGGCTGGGGCTGGGGTGATGGTGGTCGGGGTGGGAATAGTGGTTTGTCTTCGATTAGCTGTTCCATCAATGGGTTTTGTTTTTGTTGTTAGAACATATGCTTTTCTGAGGTTTGTATGTACTAACCATCGCCCTTCCCCACCTCACAGAATCACATTAAAGCCCAGGCAAATTCTACTCTTTCTGTTCATCTGTGTAGGGAACTCTCAACTTTGGTGGGATCAGGGTGGGCAACGGACCGACAGAGGAGGATGCTGAGATTATTCAGCATGACCAGCTCTCCACCCATTCAGAAGATGCAGAAGAGGTAAGATCCAGCGGTGAGGGCTTCCTCTCCTTCCGCCTCGGGCCAGCCGTGGTCTTGTGTACATAAGAGGCCTCGCTCCAGTCTTCTCCTTGACAAATGAAAATACTAATCCTAATGATCAGCCTGCCTTCTGGAACTCTTAGAGCACCACAGCTTTTTCCAGTGGGGCCCTGCTCTAAACTCCAGGGGTTGCCTGCAGAGCCCGCAGCAGTTGTGTTCTGTGGTTTGACTTCTTAAATTCTGAGTTGCGTGCAGATCTCAATCACTAACTGCTCTCCTGGGCACCGAGGCAGAGCAGGCCCCAGCTTCCCAGGTCTTATTACGAGAAACACAGCTTGCTTACGGCTGCGCCCTCATCCCTTGCCTCTGCCAAGAATGGTTCCAATTGGAACTGTAACCACAGGGGCTTTTGCAGTCCTGTCCCACCAATGTGCTCTTGTTGCAGATATTTTATTTAAGCCTCTAAAAAATGCCATTTGCCTGCTTTTTACAGGGAGCGTGAAAAGTAGCAAGGCCAAGCTAGACTTTTCCTACACAACCACCTCCAAGCTCAGTGTTTTAAAACCCCGTCTCCTTGCCTGGCCGCTCATACCACAGAGCCTCTGAACTGAACTTATGAGTCTCATCCATTCATTATATTCTTTTTAAAAGCAAGTAGAATAGGAGTTGAGGACCCAGGTGACTGGACTTTTCAGTCTGACTGACCACTTCCACTGTGTGTATGACTTTTTAAAAAAGAAATTGCAAGGGTTGGGGTGCCTTTTAAAAATATGTGTCTTGCTGCTCTCAGTCCTGCTGATCTGCTTTTCGTGTGTGCTGAGAAGGCCTGCCTCTAACCTGTTAGACCCGTTTAACATTAACAGTCCTCCCCCAAGAAGCAATCAGTAGCCTTGTGTTCGTGACTTGTGACCTTGCGTGTGGTGTGGCTTCCCACTAAGTGTAACTTTGTGTTTTCAAGCCTACCGAGGACGAAGTGGTAAGAAACGAGCTGCTTTGCCTTCGTGTTTATCTGGGGCTCTGTCTTCCCATCCTTGTGATCACTCTGCTGACCCTGCCGCATCCGGGGGCCGCACATGACACTCGTGTACCCTGCATCTCGCTGGCCATTTCTAACCAGTTCCTGAACCCATGTCTGAAAAAGCTCATCTCCATTAACTGCATCTCATGTCAGTCACCTCTGTCTTTGTTTCATTAACTTTGCTGATCTAATACCTCTGAGAATGGCTTTGAAAGGAACTACAAGTAATGTCTGCGCTGGCATTCTTGAAGTGACTCCCTTTGGGGTTCAACCCCGCTGGCCTCTGCCTTCCTCTCGGGGGATGTTATGTCATGGTCGCTCTGCCACTGGGAGCAGCTGTGTCCCCTGCTCCTCTGAGTGCCTAAGAGTAAAGCTCCCCCTTCCTCCCTGAGATGCAGCCAGCTTCTTCCTGCTGCCCTCATCAGCTTGACGATGCTTGAAGTGAGAAGTGAGAACGCCAGACCCTCACTTGGGGTCAGCTCCGCCTCCAAGTGACCCAGGTGGGAGGCAGACAGCTTTCAAAAGGAGACTTTGCCTCTCAGATGTATCCCAGAAAGAATAATCCATCTGCATGAAAGGAGTTCCTATTATAACAGCCACACACAGAGAATAACAGGGACTAGAAAGAAAGTTGACTAAATGTTTAGGCCATATCTGGAGTAGGGCTTCAAGCTCAGCAATAATGCATTTAGCAACGTGCAAGTTTGAAATTGGGTTTGTGAAAGGCCTTGCTGCACTGTTTGCATCTTCCCCGAAAACTTCTCTCTAAAATACCTAGACCCATGAACCCTTCCTTTCCCTGGTTTTCCTGGTCCTCTCTAAGGGGGCAGTGGGATGGGAGTGGGAAAATCTTTGCTGTTCTGTATAAAAACACAGTGCTCTGTCCTCCTGAAGGCTGGAGAGGCTCCTGTCCTGGCATCCAGGAGCCTCTGGGTTCCTCTGGACTCGCACCTCTGCACAGTCGCTGGCTGAGCTGCCTGGAAGGGCCAGGAGGGGGCGTGTCCCGTGTTAGTGAGGAACCCGGACCCTCTCCCACTAACACCACCTCCAGCAATACTGCTGTTCTCTAAATGCCTTCCTAGTCGAGCTCCCACTGCCATGGTTATTGTCAGAACAGTCCTCATTTGTAGCCCTGTCCCAGGAGAGCTGGACATCCAAACAAGATGGACTGCAGTTCAGCTGCCCTGGTCTCGGGGTCCCCAGCTCCCTCAGAGGGTTCAGCTTCCTGTAGCTTCCTAAGGAGTCATAACACTTTATCAGGCAACTACACAGTCTAGCTCTCTATGGCCAAATTTGGATAACCGTCACAGTCATATAAAGATTTCAAACAAAACATTTTTTTTTTCAAGTCCAGCTCACTTCTTCTAGAACTTCCCCATTTTGCTTGGCTGTGAAAACCTGTTTGCCCCATGCGGGTCGTTGCTCCAGCCCAGTGGAAGCAGCAGTCCCTCTCCCTCCCTGGGGGGCACTCAGTCCAGGGCCGGGCCAGCTGATTGTCTGGGAAACCTTTGAAGGCTGTAGCCATTCAGCAAGGGTCACTGGCACCTCTCCCTACTGTGTCATCTCACCAGGTGCGTTCATCCCACCCATCCATTCATTCATTCATCCCACCCATCCATTCATTCACCCTCCACGTGCCAAGCACTCTGTTTAGTGCTGCAGAAACTGAGAGAAGAAAAGCATAGTCGTTGCCTTCAAGGAACTCCCAAACAAGTTGAGGAGACAGTCTGGGTGACAGATGCTGTGATCAAGGTGTGCTCAGAATGCTGTGGGAACATGGAAAAAGGGGGCACCTGACCAACACTGGGTGGGGGTAGCGGGAGAGAAGACCAGGAAAGAATTCCCAAATTACTGCTAAGCTTAGTGTGGTCAAGTCTGCGGAGGGAGAGGGGGATGCAGAATCATCAGCATGTACAGTTACAAAGACACAGAGCTGCAGGCCCATCACATTTTCGGGATAAGCAAGTTCTCAGCGAGGCTGAAGGCTGAAGCTCAGAGTCAGGAGCTTGGGGGACTGGTGAGAAGTGAGACCAGAAGTTGGCAGAAACGAGCCATAGAGCGTTTGGACAACAAGGAATCTTCAGGGCAGTGAAGCTGGAATTAACAGCCCATGTGCATTGCTGAAATCCCCTCCTGGGGGCAGAGGGTATATTGGATTGGCGAGGGGGCACAGTCTGGAGGCATGCAGACCAGCTAGTCTGCTATGAGTCAGAAAAGAAGGGAGGCCTGAAGAGAGGTAAGGCGTTCATTTGCAGGGGGAGTTGGAAAGGAAGGGAGCAACATGAGGCAAGGGAGCAAAAGCTACAGGTCCCGGTGCTCCATGAATGTAGGCAGTGAGAGTGAGATTGACTGCCAGGCTTGGGTGCTGGGGGCACTAGTAGTGACACTCTGTTAGACGTGGGACATGGAGTAGCAGTAGGTCTTGGTGGGATCAGAGGACAGCAATTAATTAGTGTAGTTTGGGTAGCTTTGAGTTTGAAGCGTCTGTGGTGCCCCAGGAAGAGACGTAGCACAGCTAGTGGGAATGGCAACGTGGAAATGGAGGTGTCCTTTGGAGGGGTTGCCTCTGGAGCCCTAAGTGGCAGGACTACAGGAAAGATGTCAGGGCTGAGGCTGGAACGCTGACATTTAAGGAAGGACCAAGATGGAGAGTGAAAAGGAACATCAGAGAGGTAGGAGGAAAACCAAGGGGAGGTGAGTGTCTCAAGAGGGAGGAGGAAAAGGTGACAGTGACCAGAGAGGTTCAGTCAGGACACAGAGCATTAGACCTCATGACTGGGAGGTAAGGGTGAGCGGGCCAAGAGGGCCGGTTTGGGGAGCAGAAAGGGTAGAAGCCAGGGCGAAGCAGGTGGGGAATGGACGGGTGGTGAACAAGCAGAGTAGAGAATGGAGATGGAGTCTGCAGCGATCCATCCATCGCCAGTCATAGCTGATTCATCAGCGGATCTGAGTGACAGAGTCCCTTAATTCTCATCCTGTTATCTTCCCCCATTATATAGATAAGAAAACTTATTGTTACAGAGCAGGAAGTTGGGAATGACGGACAAGAGAAAGAAACTAAGGGTTCCCTGCCTGGCAAGGAAACCTCCCTCCTCTCCATTTCTTTTTAATGGGAGAGACTGGAGGTGGAATAAAAATGCTGTAAGGGGCTGGCTCTAAGGAGCCCAGCAGTCACTGCTTTTGTAGAGCTCTTGGGAGTGAAGACCTGCGCTCCTGGGAGCCAGGGACCTCTCCTTCCTCTGAGCACGGGCTTTGGAGTGACAACCAGCAGTGGGGGGAAAGCGCTTTTAACAGCGTTGTTGGGGTTGAGGTAGCTAGGATTACCCTCTTTTTCAGAGTAAATAGGGGTCTTGACGAGCCAGTTCCAGAAGAAAAACCCAGAAATACTCTGGGTGTAGTCAGAGGTGAGAGAAAATGAGGCAGCCGCCCAAAGATGGTATGTTGGAGCTGGTCTGTCTCCCCACGGGCCACACCCAGGAGGCCAGGGCTGTCTGTAAGTGCTTTACCAGCCCTGCCCCTTCTCTCAACCTGTCCTCATGTGATTTCCCAAGGCAATTATTCTGGTGTCCTTTGGGTGTGGAGTCATGTGAGTCTTGAAAGAAACTGGTGAAAAATAGACTCTGACCTGAGGGCAGGGCAGGCTGGGGAGGCCCATTGGACAGCTGCCCTCTGCTCCTGGGGTTCTAATCTGGGCTGTGGGAAGGGGTCCCGGGAAGGGACCCACTTCCTGTCCTGCAGTGGCTGCTGATTGTTCCACCTGGGAGAGTGAGAGGCCACGAAATGCACCTGGTGCTTCTAGAAAAATCTGTATTCTTTCCCAACGGTGCATGGAACAGTCCTAAAAGTGAACTCCTGAAAGCTCGTTCCAGCCCTACCCCTTTATTCTGGAAATAATTTTTGATGTTGAAAGGAAAACTAGGAGAAAGGGAGTGTGAGGCAAACTGAAACAAAAGCCAACAGATGTTCTGTCTGGTTTTAATCAGCTGTCTGAGTAGGAATTGGTAAAACTTTTGCCAAAATTTCACTGTGTCATCTTTTCAGAAGTCACAAAAGAAAAAGGTTAGTTCTCTTGCCCCCAACAGTTTGTAAAACTAAGTGAAAGTGGCTGTAGAGGTTTAGTCTCCTCCAGGCAGGTTCCACCTGACAGCCTGTCTCCGGCCCCCCAGGAAAAGCCCGCCCCGCTTTCATGGCTTATTCACAGGTGGGAGTCGGCCAGAGCCGGCTCAGCCTCAGGTCCTTCGAGTCCCGGGGCCAGTCACCTCTGAGCACTCTTAACCGCATCCGCTCCACTCGAGCTCCCGGCCTAGCAGGGAGGAAAAATATTAGATGAGCTGAGAAGACCCTCATGAAGACGTAGTTCATTAAAATGTAGTGTATTGAGGGGAATGGGAGTGTCCCAGGTGGGGACAAAGCCAGGCAGAATTTCTGGGGCCCGCATAGCTGAAATCACCATCGGAGTTCAACACTGGGGGCTCCTGGCCCATGGAGCCCAAAGTGCCAAATGGCCACCACCCAGACTCCCACACTTTCCCCTCCCAGCCTTATATCTTCTCTCTGGTTTCCTCCCCCCACAGTTTGACTTTGGAGACACCATGGTCCACCAGGCCATCCACACCATCGAGTACTGCCTGGGCTGCATCTCCAACACCGCCTCCTACCTGCGGCTCTGGGCCCTCAGTCTCGCTCATGCACGTGAGTGTGTTTCTCTCAGGTCAGAACCTGTGGTTTTCCCCTGCTGTGGCCACTCTCTCAGGTGGGGCTGCTCACCGAGAGCGGAAGTTACATAAAGGTTCTGGGATGATCCCGACTCCTAAATCCAGGGAGAATGGTATCCAGATGGGAGGGCCAGCGCTTTTGCCAGGTTAGCTGTGCCCCGTGGTCCCACCCAGGTCATGGGAACCAGGGCGCAAGGACCACTGCAGGTGAGGGGTGGCAGAGCGAGATGCGAGGCCCACAGCGCCTCTTGCCAAACTGAACCAGCTGTCGTGTGTCTCCCGGTCCCCAGAGCTGTCTGAGGTGCTGTGGACCATGGTCATCCACATCGGCCTGAGCGTGAAGAGCTTGGCAGGAAGTCTGGC